CAGCACTACATCACACTTATTCTAAAACAGACCACATAATTGGAAGTAAAACACTCCTCAGAAAATGCAAAAGAATGCAAATCATAACAGTCTCTCAGACTAATGCAATCAAACTAGAACTAAGGAATAAGAAACTCACTCAGAACCACACAACTACATGGAAACTGAACAACCTGCTCCCAGATGACTACTGGGTAAATAATGAAATTCAGGCAGAAATACATAAGGTCTTTGAAACTAATGATAACAAAGACACAACATACCAGACTCTCTAGGACACAGCTAATGCAGTGTTTAGAGGGAAATGTATAGCACTAAAATGCCAATAGGAGAAAGCAGGAAAAATCTAAAATTGACACCCTAACATCACAATTAAAAGAACTAGTGAACCAAGAGCAAACAAATTCAAAAGCTAGCAGAAGACAAGAAATAGCTAAGGTAAGGAGACAGAGACACAGAAAAAACCCTTCAAAAAATCAATGAATCCAGGAGCTGGTTTTTTGAAAAGTTTAACAAAATAGATAAACTGCTAGCCAGACTAATTAAGAAGAAAAGAAGAAGAATCACATAGACACAATAAAAATGATAAGGGGAATATCACCACTGATCCCACAGAAATACAGACTACCATCAGAGAATACTATAAACACCTCTACAAAAATAAACTAGAAAATCTAGAAGAAATAGATAAATTCCTGGACACAAACACCCTCCCAAGACTAAATCAGGAAGAAGTCAAAACCCTGAATAGACCAATAATAAGTTCTAAAAATAAGTCAGTAATTAAAAGCCTGCTAACCAAAAAAAGTCCAGGGCCAGATAGATTCACAGCTGAATTCTACCAGAGGTACAAAGAAGAGCTGCTGCCATTCCCTCTGAAACTATCCCAAACAATAGAAAAAGAAGGAATCCTCCCTAATTCATTTTATGAGGCCAGCATCATCCTGATGCCAAAACTTGGCAGAGACACAACAAAAAAAGAAAATTTCAGGCCAGTATCTTGATGAACATTGAGATGTGAAACTCCTCAATAAAATACTGGCAAACCAAATCCAGCAGCATATTAAAAAGCTTATCCATCACAATCAGGTCGGCTTCATCCCTGGGACAAGGTTGGTTCAACATACACAAATCAATAAATGTAATCCATCAAATAAACAGAACCAATGACAAAAACCACATGATTATCTCAATAGATTCAGAAAAGGCCTTCAATAAAATTCAATGCCCCTTCATGTTAAAAACTCTCAATAAACTAGGTATTGGTGAAACGTGTCTCTAAATAATAAGAGCTATTTATGACAAACCCATAGCCAATGTCATACTGAATGGGCAAAAGCTGGAAGCATTCCCTTTGAAAACCAGCACAGGACACTCCTATTCAACATAGTATTAGAAGTTCTGGCCAGGGAAATCAGGTAAGAGAAAGAAATAAAGGGCACTTAAATAGGAGGACAGGAAGTCAAATTGTGTCTGTTTGCATTTGTCCTGATTATATATTTAGAAAACCCCATTGTCTCAGCCCAAAATCTCCTTAAGCTGATAAGCAACTTCAGCAGTGTCTCAGGATACCAAATCAATGTGCAAAAATCACAAGAAATCCTATACACCAAAAACAGACAGAGAGCCAAATCATGAGTGAACTCCCATTCACAATTGCTACAAAGAGAATAAAATCCCTAGGAATACAACTTACAAGGTATGTAAAGGACCTCTTCAAGAAGAACTACAAACCACTGCTCAAGGAAATAAAAGAGGACACAAACAAATAGAAAAACATTCCATGGTCATGGATAGGAAGAATGAATATCATGAAAATGACCATTATAGATTGAATGCTAACCCCATCAAGCTACCATTGACTTTCTTCACAGAATTGGAAAAACTGCTTTAAATTTCATATGGAATCAAAAAAGAGCCGATATAGCCAAGACAATCCTAAGCAAAAAGAACAATGCTGGTGGCATCATGCCAACTGACTTCAAACTATACTACAAGGCTACAGTAACCAAAATAGCATGGTACTGGTACCAAAACAGATATACAGACCAATGGAACAGAACAGAAGCCTCAGAAATAACATCACACATCTACAACCATCTATCCTTGATAAATCTGACAAAGGTATTTAATAAATGGTGTTGGGAAAACTGGCTAACAATATCCAGAAAATTCAAACTGTACCCCTTCCTTACATCTTATATAAAAATTAACCCAAGATGGATTAAAGACTTAAACATAAGACCTAAAACCATGCAAACTCTAGAAGAAAACCCAGGCAATACCATATAGGACATAGGCATGGACAAAGACTTCATGACTAAAACACCAAAATCAATGGCAACAAAAGCCAAAATTGACAAATGGGATCTAAGTAAACTAAAGAGCTTCTGCACAGCAAAAGAAACTATCATCAGAGTGAACAGGCAACCTACAGAATGCGAGAAGATCTTTGCAATCTATCTATCTGACAAAGGGCTAATATCCAGAATCTACAAAGAACTTAAACAAATTTACCAGAAAATAGCAAACCACCCCATCAAAAAGTGGGGGAATGATATAAATAGTCACTTTTCAAAAGAAGACATTTATGCAGCCCACAAACATATGAAAAAAAGTTCACCATCACTGGTGATTAGAGAAATGGAAATCAAAAACACAATGAAATACCATCTCATGCCAGTTAGAGTTATTAAAAAGTCAGGAAACAACAGATGCTGGAGAGGATGTGGAGAAATAGCAATGCTTTTATACTATGGGTGGGAGTGTAAATTAGTTCAACCATTGTGGAAGACAGTGCGGCAATTCCTCAAGGTATTTCTGGTTATAGATCCTTGAGGATCCAGCAATCCCAATACTGGGTATATACCCAAAGGATTATAAATCATTCTACTATAAAGACACATGCACACATATGTTTATTGGAGCACTGTTCACAATAGCAAAGACTTAGAACCAACCCAAATGCCCATCAATGATAGAATGGATAAAGAAAATTTGGCACATTTATACCATGGGATACTATGCAGCCATAAAAAAAGGATGGGTTCATGTCCTTTGCAGGGACATGGATGAAGCTGGAAACCATCATTCTCAGCAAACTAACACAGGAACAGAAAACCAAACACCGCATGTTCTCACTCATAAGTGAGAGTTGAACAATGGATACAGGGAGGGGAACATCACATACTGCAGCCTGTCAGGGGTTTAGGGGCTAGAGGGATAGCATTAGAAGAAATAGCTAATGTAGATGACAGGCTGATAGATGCCGCAAACCACCATGGCACGTGTATACCTATGTAACAAACCTGCACGTTCTACACATGTATTCCAGATCTTAAAGCATAATTTAAAAAAAACTTTGTGTGTGCATGTATAGAGCTAAGCATAGAGAAAAGTATGAAAAAATGATAATAGTGACTATCTTAGGACAGTGGGATTTCAGGTGAATTTTATTTTCTTCCTGGAGGCTTCCTGCATTATGTTTTTATACTGTGTATGTTTTATTTCTTCAAAATTTTAAGAAGTTTTTTTTTGAGACGGAGTTTCGCTCTTGTTACCCAGGCTGGAGTACAATGGCACGATCTTGGCTCACCGCAACCTCCGCCTCCTGGGTTCAGGCAATTCTCCTGTCTCAGCCTCCTGAGTAGCTGTGATTACAGGCACGCACCACCATGCCCAGCTAATTTTTTGTATTTTTAGTAGAGACGGGGTTTCACCATGTTGACCAGGATGGTCTCGATCTCTTGACCTCGTGATCCACCCGCCTCGGCCTCCCAAAGTGCTGGGATTACAGGCTTGAGCCACCACGCCCGGCCTGAATTGTTTTTTTTTTTTTTTTAATTGTGGGAAAAACAACAATAAGAAAAAGAGAATGAAAGGAATGGAGCAGAATGCAAACAAAGGGGACTGGAAGGGACTGGGAGGTAAGTAGGAAGGCAAATGGGGGTCCTAGAGGGACCTGACAGGAGGCCCTGAGGGATCTGGTGGGACTGAGAGGTGTCAAAAGACATGATGTAGAACTGTGGGGAATAGGAGGTATGGGGTATCAGGGCACTCAAAACCGTGGGGAGATTGCAAGGTACAGAGGAACTGAAGAAAGTGTCAGGGAACGGCCGGGCATGGTGGCTCAAGCCTGTAATCCCAGCACTTTGGGAGGCTGAGGCGGGTGGATCACGGGGTCAAGAGATCGAGACCATCCCGGTCAACATGGTGAAACCCCGCCTCTACTAAAAATACAAAAAATTAGCTGGGCATGGTGGCGTGTGCCTGTAATCCCAGCTACTCAGGAGGCTGAGGCAGGAGAATTGCCTGAACCCAGGAGGCGGAGGTTGCGGTGAGCTGAGATCGCGCCATTGCACTCCAGCCTGGGTAACAAGAGCGAAACTTCGTCTAAAAAAAAAAAAAGAAAGAAAGAAAGTGTCCGGGAACAACAACAGCAGATAGGGAGACAAGTGAGAAGGAGATGGGAAAGACCAGTGAGGTTAAGTAGGACTGGAGGAAAAGGCAACCCCAGAGAAACAAGGAGACTACGCAGTTGAGGGGGACTGGGATCGGATTGGGAGGAATGAAGGACAGGGAAACCATGAGGAGTAGTAGAGATTCTGGAGAACAATGTGGGGCCCTTGGAAAGGATAGGACAAAAAAGATAAAGAAAACATTGGCTTTTGAGCTGACAGCCTAGACTTTCCAGCTCTATCAAGGCTTAACCCTCTTTGCCTGATTTTCCTCACCTGTGAAGATAAGCATGAGGCCTGCCTCACAGTGTTAAGATGAGGATTGAATGCTACAATCTGTGTTCAAAACTTAGTCATCACTGGGCATTCAGAGTGCACTCAATAAATGCTAAGTTTTATTATTATGAACAGTTCCTTAATTCAAAGAGAAGAGGAAGGCACAATAATAGAACTTCATCTCCTGTCCATGTATTTCATTCTGTGCTTTTAATAAAGAATCATTTTTTCCTGAGAGATGGTGGGAGGGAGACGAACAAATCCAACCTGCTTTGAAGATTCATCCAAAGCTGAACTTTCTTCACCATTCAGAATGAAAAATGAAAGGCTTTTATCCAATGAGACTTCAGTCTGTGGAGAAAAGGATAAACCAGTATTTAGTGTTGAAATGAATACTTTTTCTGCTTATAAGTAAAGGAAATACTTTTCTGTAATATGGTAAACATAACTGTTATCTCACTAGTGAACAGGGAGCAGCAAGCCAGAGTATGTCAAGGTATATTTAGGTCTGAGTTTGTTTGATTCATGAGTTTTTATTTTTGTTTTGGTAACTGCAAGAAAAGCCAGAATATAGAGCCGAAATCTTCTCCCTCTTCCCAAAGTGTCTACTCACTCTAGTCTGAGTGGCAAGAGTTTGACCAAAATGCTGGCTCTGGTGGAACTTTCTTTTCTCTCCTTGTCTTTGGTGCTGTCCTGTTCAGATATCCCAACCCCACCCACCCCACACACAAGTACCACCTCAGCCCACAATCTTTCATGGAGTTAGAAGTAATTAAAAGTCTGAAAAGTGGTATATTCTTAGTTGTAAACTCGCTGATAAAGAAGCTCTCATTTTTCACTCCTGTAAAGTCTGAATCTTTGAATTAACAAATCATATCACTTCTTTCTTACACACATATATTAAAATGAACTGTTTTAAGGAAAGCTTGGGAAAGGAATTAATTCTATAATGAAAAGTAAAACATAGTTACTAGGAATCAATTTAAAATATGTAAAAATGAAAATTATAAGAATTGTATGTAAGATATTATAATTTTATAAAATATAAAGTGAAGATTTTATCTTATAAGATAAAAACTTACCTTGTATTGTTTGTATCCACAGTGTAGCCATCACATTAACTTAAAAGTTACTCGCCTTGTAATAATGCTGCTTATATGAATGGTCAGTATATGCTTTTATCTCCTGTCATCTCTGCACATCTCAAAATCACTTGCTAAAATCTTCTGCTTTCTAAGCAGATATCCCTGTGTGGTAACTGGGATCGTGTTTCTTAGACGGGCCAATTTCTCTTCCTTTTAACCCCTTTTCTTGGTACTCAGTGGATTGACCTTGACAAACTTTGTAACTCTTTATAGTTTTTACTACTCATAGTGAAATTAAATCCAATTTAGGCATGTTTTAATTCATGTGTTGAGTGAATAACATGCACATAAACATCACTTTTTAGTCTGCTTTTACCTTTACATTTAATTAAAATAAATTTTATTAAGCACCTAACAGAGGCACTGTGGAGGAGCCAAAGATAAATTAAAAAAAAAAAAATCCTTGCATTTTAAAATTTGCAGAGCTAAATACTCTAGGTGCTTGTGGCAGAAACTACTAGCTGCCCATTACAGTCTTTTCTCCCATCTCTAATAGTGGAACCTAACACTTCTTCCATGTTCATTTGGTGGAAATGGTATGTGCAGTTTGCAGATCTTGTCCCCTAAAAGATCAACTCCAAATCCTTTCGTTCTTTCTTCCCCGTTTCCCTTTTGCTAGTAAATGGAAAAACTAGAGCTTTGCCATTGGACTCATGGATGGAAACCACATATTGGAGATAGCAACACTCTCTTATCAGCCTGGATTACTTAATTGTTACATTAGAGAAAAAAAGGAAACTTCTATCTTAATGAAAACACTTTACTTGAATCTTTTTGTTACAGCTACTTAGCTTGTACTCTAAATAATATAACTCTCTAAAAAGAGGAGTTATCATTTTAAGTTCCAAATATGTAACTACACATTGAATTTTCAAATATTGGTTACACATTAAAAATCTGTCAGTTGGATATCACCTATAACACTGTTAAAATAATTCATTGGGAGGCCATTAGACTGAAGCAGCTCAAGGGCCCTGAGGTCCTATGTAAGCAAACCAAAACCCAACTCAGTGTGAATGGTCCTATCCAAAGCAAATCAAACTTTAGTTTTACCAATCAGAAACTGCCAACTAATCTCTAACTAGGAACTTTAAGGCTACGGCTCCACTTTAGCCAATCAAATGTTTTCTTTGCCTTGCTTCCATATGCACCATTTAAAAGCTTTCCCCACGTGCCCCTTTGGGGGAGTCCTAACCATCTGCAGACTGGCACTCCTCAGTTCACAAATTGTGGTCTGTTCAAACAAACTCTGTAAAAGTTTAATGTTCGTAAGTCTATCTTTTAACAGTATTTTATTATAATTTTTTTAGGATTAAAAAGTAACGCCAAGTAAGAATAGAGTGTGATTGCAAATGGGCAATCACTGATAAAGTAGAATCTTTTTTGAGTGATAAGAATTAAACTGTGGCATTGATTGAATAATTCTGTAAATTAACTAAAAACATTGAGTCATCCACTTCAAATAGATGAAGTTTTGCTATGTAAACTATACTTCCGTAAAGCTGTTTTAAAAAGTAAAAAAAGAAAAAACTTACTCACCTTGGTTCTTTGATATATTTTGCTATCAGTGAGCTGCTCAGTTGAAGATTTTTCATTTTTGTTAATCTGAAACACAACATCAATACATCTTTACAGAAATAGACATAATTGTGCTCATAAGTCTTTTGTCCAAAATTTATAAATATCAAGACTTTGTGATGTTTTCCTTTTAAAAAGTGTGGTATGTGTAGGTGCTCAATAAACATTAGTAGATGAATGCTCATTATTTTTTTAAAAAGTGTAGTATGTATGTAAGAAATATCAGCACACATACTGAAATGTCATTTATAATTACTATGACCAAATCATCTAACTCTTCTTGGCTTTAGGTTTGACATTATAAGGATGTTATGAGACAAAGGGAAAAAAAACATATATATATATATATATATATATATATATATATATAGAGAGAGAGAGAGAGAGAGAGAGAGAGAGAGAGAGAGAGAGAGGAAGGTTTTAGGAATTAAGAAGCTATATTAACATTTATTTTCAGTTCTCTTTTGACAAAGAAAACTTCATTGTGCTATATGTCCATTTAAATAGTAACTTTGAAAACGAGAAATTTTAAAAAGCATTACCTTAGAATTTTTTCGCTTTTCTCTCACTTTGCCTCTCAATGTCTTTACTATATTTTGATTTTCTTCTGCATCTAAATCTATCAGGAAACCAACATAATAAAGAGTTTATGACACTTTATTATAATTAAACAACAATAGCAGCAAAAGTATTTATTAAATACTTTAATTGCATGCATTTCTAAGCCTCATGACAATTATGAAAACGTGGTTATTGTCCTATGAGAGCTATAAGATCAATAGATGTCCTTTCTCCTTCTCCATCTGGAACAAATACTTTCACCCATTCAGGAGTGGTTTTTTTCTTTGTGACAACTTTTCTATCCTCTGTCACCTTCTTTTTACAATTTTTTTTTCTCTGAGATAGAGTTTTGTTCGTTGCACAGGCTAGGGTGCAGGGGTACAATCTCCGCTCACTGCAACCTCCCCTTCCCGGGTTCAAGCGATTCACCTGACTTAGCCTCCTGAGTAGCTGGGACTTGGAACCAACCCAAAAGCCCATCAGCGATAGACTAGATAAAGAAAATGTGGCACATATGCACCATAGAATACTATGCAGCCATAAAAAAGGATGAGTTCATGTCCTTTGCAGGTACATGGATGAAACTGGAAACCATCATTCTCAGCAGACTAACACAGGAACAGAAAATCAAACACCACATATTCTCACTCATAAATGGGAGTTGAACAATGAGAACACATGGAGTCAGGAAGGGGAACATCACACACTGGGGCCTTTGGGGGGTAGAGGGCGAGGGGAGGGATAGCATTAGGAGAACTACCTAATGTAGATGACAGGGTGATGGATGCAGCAAACCACCATGGCATGTGTATAACTATATAACAAATCTGCATGTTCTGCATATGTACCCCAAAACCTAAAGTATAAAAAGAAAAACTCTCAAGCCCTTGCAGGTACCCCAAGCCATGTATTATTTTCTGCTCATCCACTGGATAGACTGAAAAAAAGATCATGCAGTCCTAGGTACAGTAAAAAATTGAGGACCTATAGATCTCTTTGCCTTGCCTTTTGCTTTTTCTATTCCCTGCCTTTGAGTGGTTAACGGATAAATAGAAGATTGTAGAAATAAAGGGTAAGTATAAAGCTAAATAACTGACTATAGGTCATGTTTAACCACAGTATTCCTTGGTAAAATTTACAAATTACTAATTGGTTTTGTTTATACTATATTCCCATAACAGAATGGCAGGTGGCATATAATACATGCTCAATAAATATTTGTTTCGTGAATGAACCAGGGCTCAACCATTATTTATGTATTTTTCTCCCTGAGAGTTGAAGTTTGCTGAAGCAGGTTCTATACCCATGTATGTTTGTGGTCTAAAACAGTCTCACCGCCAGTGGATTCTCCATGTTTGTAATGACAAAAAGAAAATGGAATTCAGTTATTTATTATATCCATTGACTTTTCTATGTATTTTCTTATGCCAATCTTGTTTTATTTAGGAAGTTTAAGTTCTCTTTAAACTGATTCCTTAGGGAATCTGTGTTCCCAGCTGAAACTCTGGAACAGGATTAATCATTTACATCTGTTAAAAACAAAAATGAAGAATATCAGAGTTATGGTATACTTATTGAGAACCTTTTTGAAGATGCTTGTCTCTAATTTCTTCAGCTGTAACATTATCCATCTCTTCTGACAACTGCAAAAAAAGCAAGAAGGGTTAAACATGCATCTTGTTTTGTCATTGAACATCTTTTCAAATATTCATCAGCCCTTTGAACATCATCTCCTTTAAAATATCAGTTCATATATTTTGCTTGTTTTCTTAAATTTCATCGTTTTATCTATTTGCATGAGCTCTTTAAACATGGTGAAATTACTCTTCTCTTACAAGGTAAAGCAAGATGGCTGAACAGAATCCTCCAGCAATCATCTGCCCTGCAGTAACAACAAATTGAACAACTATCCACATAAGAAGCACCTTCGTAAGAACCAAAAAATCAGGTAAGCAATCATAGTGCCTGGTGTTAACATCGTATCAAGGAAGGAGCTACTGAAGAGAGTAGGAAAGAAAATCTTGAATTGCCTACACCACCTCTCTCTGATCCCCAGGCAGTGTGGCAGGAAGAGAGAATTTGTGCATTTTGGGGAGGAAGAGCAAAGTGACTGGGGGACTTTGCATTGGAACTCTCTGCTCCCCTAACCTAGTGGAAAGCAGCACAGGGCAGAATTTGGCCAGCATTCACAGAGGGAGCATTTAGACAAGCCCTAGCCAGAGTGGAATTGTCCATCCCAGCAGTCAGAACCTGACTTCCAGCTAGCCCTACCACCATTGGCTAAAGCACTCTGGGGTCCTAACAAACTTGAAAGGCAGTCTAGCCCACAAGGACCACAGTTCCTGGGCAAGTCCTTGTACTGTGCTGGGCTCAGAGCCAGTAGGCTCAGTACACACACGATCCAGTGAGAAGCAGCTAGGGTGGCCAAGGGAGTGCTTGCATCACCCCTCCTGTGAGTACAGCTCACAGCTCTAGGAAAAGACAGAAAAGCAAGGAGTACTTTGTTGCACCTTGGATACGAGCTCAGCCCCCGTAAAATAAAGCACCAAGCAAAGTCCTCAAGCCCCTACTCCTGGCACTATCTCCCAGATATCATTTTTAGACCAACACAGGGCAAGAAGAGAACCCACTGCCCTGAAAGAAAGGTTGCAATCCTGGCAGAATTCACCATCTGCTGACTAAAGAGCCCTTGAGCCTTGGGTAAGCATCAGTGGTAGCCAGTCAGTAGTGATTAGACCATGGGGGTGGTTCCCCAAGCTGTTCTCATGACAGTGAGTGAGTTTTCAAGAGATCTGATGGTTTTACAAGCCTCTGTTATTTCCCCTGCTTTCATTTCTCTCTCCTGCCACCATGTGAAGAAGGTCCTTGCTTCCCCTTTGCCTTCCACCGTGATTCTAAGTTTCCCAAGGCCTTCCCAGCCATGTGAATTGTTAATTGTGAGTCAATTAAACCTCTTTCCTTTATAAACTACTTTTTAAAGGATAGTCTCTTTATAACAATATGAGAATGGACTAATACACTTGGGTATCCAACTCAACCACAGTCAATTAAAGTGCACCTAGCAGACTCCTAGGTCCCTGATTCCAGACCTTAGCTATTGAAGGGCATTTCTAGATCCGTCCTGGGCCAGAAGGGAACCTGCAGCTCTGAAGGGAGAGAACCAGGCTTGCTAAGACTCACCAACTGCTGACTAAAAACCCCTTGGGCCTTGAATAAACATCAATGGTAGCCACAGTACCTTGAAGAATAAACATCAATCGTAGCCACTGGCCTGGGGCAGTGGTGGCCATGAGCAGATAGCCCTTCTGCTTAAGAAAAAGAGAAAACCAGAGAGGATTTAAGTCTTGCAACCTCAGTACCAGTTCAGCCCTAGTAAAATAAAGCACCAGACAAATTCCTAAAATCCCTGACCCCAGGCCCTCCTCATCTTTGGCAGTTCTAAACCCACCCTGGGCCAGAAGGGAACGTGCCTCACTGGAAGGGGAAGACCTAGTCCTGGCAGGATTCAGGGGATGGTGGGGGAGGGAAGGAAAGGAAAGAGATGGGAAGGGAAGGGGAGGGGAGGAAGGGAAGGGGAGGGGAGGAAGGAAAGGGAAGGAGAAGGGGCAGGGGAAGGGAAGGTAATTTTGAATTTATTATCCCTTCTGCAAGAACTTCTAAAATACACTTAAAATCAATAGCTGGCTTATTGATGCCTACACTTGTAAATGTTGTCTGCTCAACTAGAAAAAGCATTAGCAGTAGCACACAAAGCATATAGACAGTAAAATTGTAACAAACTATCAAATTAAATGTTATCGTAGAAATTATTAATCATATTTTTGCAGACTTGGAAGTGTTCCTAACCTGTTCATCTATCATTCTACATAATAGATAAGATAGTCATTTTAAAAATTGGATAAAATTACAGATCAAAGTGAAAATTACACTTGCTCTGTTGAAATCTCATGCATAAGGAAAAAATCACAGTGCCGACTTCTGCTTTCTTACAGCAGTTCGAGTTTCTGTGTTAGAAAATTGGCTCTAACAGTTAAACCCTATTTTATCTTTAAGGTTACTACAATTTATGATTCTTGCAATTAAAGCTTTTTCTAAAAGGCAAGGAATTTGAGGATTAGCTATCTTTGTATCAGATGACCTGAAGTTTCTCTATTGCTGTGATGATTTCTGAAATGAAATTTCATAGGGCTTATATTGTAAGTTTAATATTAAAAAAGAAATGAACCTTTGAAAGGCTGAAAAATAAAATAAATAAAATAAAATAAAATAAAGGTGGGGGGCATTGTTCAGGAGATCTCTTCCTAGCTAGGCTTGGTATATGAAAGTATGCAAAAGTCCAATTTGTAGCTTTGCAAGCATTAATCTTTCTATTAATGATGTGCCCACAGGGTAACAGATGTAATAAAACATAAAAATTTCTGGCCAGGCACAGTGGCTCATGCCCTGTAATCTCAGCACTTTGGGAGGCTGCAGTGGGAGGATCACCTGGGGCCAGGAGTTCAAGACCAGCCTGGCAAACATGGTGAAACCCCATCTCCACAAAAATGCCAAATTAGTTGGGCATGATGGCAGGTGTGTGTAATGTCAGCTACTCAGGAGGCTGAGGTGGGAGAATCGCTTGAACCGGGAGACAAAGGTTGCAGTGAGCTGAGATCATGCCATTGCACTCCAGCCTGAATGACAGAGTGAGACTCTGTCTCCAAAAAAATAAATAAAAAATAAAAACTTCTTTAGTATTAGTACAATAGATTTTACCATAGTTTTTAAATTTATATTTGTAATTAATGAAATTAAAGTCAAAGGTGAAACCAAACTTTTTTTTTCTATGATTGTAAAGGCCAGAATTCCTAACATCTCATATTCTCATTCATAGAGTCTTTGGGATGGAAGCCAACTTTTGTAATTTCACAATGAAAACCAATAAAACATCAATTTCAAAATAATAATAAAAGAACAACTTGTTGATGGTAACACAACAAAATTAGAGGCAATTAACTGATTTCAAATTACTATATTTCTAAATTATAGAAAACATTAAATTTAATTAAAATAGTTTTGGTCAGTGGAGGCTGAAAAGATGAAAAGGGATTTACGTCTCTTTCCACATTCTTTTTTTGGTTCCACAAACACTTTGCAGCAGAGTTTGTATTGTTTGAATGTTTTTTTCCTCTCCAACTTTCATGTTGAAATGTATTCCCAATGTTGGAGATGAGGCCTGGTGGGAAGTGATTGGATTGTGGGGGTGGATCCCTCATGGGTGGCTTAGCACCATCCCCTTGGTGACATGAGATCTAATTGCTTAAAAGAGTCTGACGCCTCGCTTTTCTTGCTCTTGCTCCCTCTTTCACCATAATGGCATACCAGCTTTCCTTCCCTTCCACCACAATTGTAAGCTTCCTGAGGCCATCACCAGAAGCAGATGCTGGAGCCATACTTGTGCAGCCAGCAGAACTGTGAGTCAATTAAACTTATTTTCTTCATAAACTACCCAGTCTCAGGAATTCCTTTATAATGACACAAAAACGACCTAACACAGAAAGTTGGTGCCAAGATGTGAAGCATTCTGTACAGATACCTGAAGATGTGGAAGTAGCTTTGGAACTTGGTAATGGTTATAAGAGTGTGGAGGGCTCAGAAGAAGATAGGAAAATGAGGGGACATTTAGAACTTCTTAGAGACGGGCTAAATGTTTGTGACCAAAACGCTGATAGAGATATAGACAGTGAAGGCCAGGCTGATGCGGTCTCAAATAGAAATGAGAAAGTTATTGGGAACTCGAGTAAAGTTCATCCCTGTTATGCCCTAGCAAAGAACTTAGCTGCACTGTGTCCATGTCCCAGGAATCTGTGGAACTTTGGACTTAAGAGGGAAGACTTAAGGTATCTGGCAGAAAAAATTTCTAAGCATCAAAGCATTCAAGAAGTGACATGACTGCTTCTAACACGCTGTTATCAGATGTGGGTGTAAAGGAATGATTTAAAGTTGGAACTTGTATTTCAAAGGGAAGCAGAGCATAGAAGTTTGAAACATTTGCAGCCTGGCCCTGTGGTAGAGAAAGAATTTAAGCAGGCTGTGGAGCAATCACTTGCTAGAAAGATTAACATGACTAAAAGAGAGCCAAGTGCTATTATCCAAGACAATGGCAAAAAGGCCTCAAAGGCATTTCAGAAGTCTTTTGGATTGCCCCTCCAATTACACACCCACAGGCCTAGGAGGAATGAATGATTTCAGGGAGCAAGCCCAGGGTCTCACTACCCTGTTCAGCCTCAGGACACTGCACCTTGTATCTCAGCCACTCTGGCTCCAGCCTTGGTTCAAAGAAGCCCAGGTACAGCTCAGGCTGCAGCTCCAGAGGGTGCGAGCTGTCAGCCTTGGTGTTTTCCACAGGGTGTTAAGTCTGCAGATGCTCAGAATGCAAGTGTGAAGGAGGATTGGCAGCTTCCACCTGGATATCAGAGGATATATGAAGAAGCCTGGGTGCCCAGGCAGAAGACTGCTACAGGGGTGGAGCTGTCACAGAGAAACTCTACCATGGTAACTGAGGGGCAGTGTGGGGTTAGAGAGCCCACACAGAGTCCCCACTGGGGCACTGCCTAGTGAAGCTGTGGGAAGTAGATCATCACTCTTCAGATTCCAGAACGGTAGATTCACCTGCAGCTTGCACCCTGCCTGGAAAAGCTGCAAGCACTCAGCTTTAACCCATGACAGCAGCCATGTGGGCTGCACCCTGCAAAGCCACAGAGGCAGAGCTGCCCAAGACCTTGGGAGCCCACCCCTTGCACCAGTGTGCCCTGGATGCAGGATATGGAGTCAAGGATCATATTGGAGCTTTAAAATTTAATGCCTAGCCTGCTGGGTTTCAAACTTGCATGGGCCCTATTACTCCTTTCTTTTGGCCAACTTCTCCCTTTTGGAATGAGAATGTTTATCCAATGCCTGCGCTGCCATTGTATCTTGGAAGTAAATAAGTTTTTGTTGTTGTTGTTGTTGTTGTTGTTGTTGTTTACAGGCTCATAGGTGGAAGGAACTTAGACTTGAATTTCAGATGAAACTTTGGACTTTGGGATTTTTGAGTTGAGGCTGGAATGAATTAAGACTTTGAGGGACTATTGTAAAACCATAATTATATTTTGAAATGTGAGAAGGATGTGAGCTGTGGGAGGCTAGGGATGGAATGATATGATTTGGATGTTTGTCTCCTACAAATCTCATGTTAAAATGTGATTCCCAGTAATGGAGATAGGGCCTGGTGGGAAGTGATTGGATTGTGGGGGTGGATCCTTCATGGATGGCTTAGTACCATCACCTTTGTGATGACTGAGTTCTTGCTCAGTTAGTTCACATGAGATCTAGTTGTTTAAAATAGTTTGTCTCAGATCTCCCCCTTCTCTCCCTTACTTCCTCTCTTGCCATGTGACATGCTGGCTCCCATTTCCTTCCGCCATGATTGTAAATTCCCTGAGGCCCTCACCAAAAGCAGATATTAGAGTCATGCTTGAATAACCTGCAGAACTGTGAGCCAATGAAACCTCTTTTCTTTATAAATTACCCAGTGTTCTTTTATTCCAATGTAAGAATGGCCTAATACAACAGTATCATTCAACATGACAGCTAAATCCAAGTTCATGCAATTCCCCAGACATTTATAGAAACTAGCATGCCACACAAGTTTTCGTTTATCTATTTGTTTTTTAGAGACAGGATCTCACTCTTTTGCTCAGGCTGAAGTGCAGTGGCATGATGATAGCTCACTACAGCCTTGAACTCTTGGGCTCAAGCAATCCTCCTGCTTCAGCCTCCTGAGCTGCTAGGACTACAAGCATGTGTCTCTAAGGCTCAGCTAATTATTATTATTATTATTTAAAGCCAGGGTCTCGCTATGTTGCTCATGCTGGTCTCGAACTCTTGCCCTCAAGCAATCCTCCTGCCTTAGCCTCCCAAAGCACTGGAATTATAGGCATGAGCCACTGCTCTTGGCCTAAATAAATTTCTAAATCAATTCTACAGGCACAAAACTATACAAGATCCCTTGATACTTGCTTTAGTTGGGACAGAATGCTGACGTGCTGACTACTGCATAGAAATGTATTATAGGAATCAGCAGACTTATTTTTGGCACAGTTTTCAATCATCTTGGTTACTTCTGTCACATGTCATTTGGTTTCAGGAGTGTTAGCAAAATAAAACCACAGAAAAACGTCTAGCATGTGGAAATGGTTACAAAATACATTATGAAAATTAATGTGGAAACAGGTTACAAAAACTGTCATATTTTGTAAATTTATATTTAATACACACCATGCAATGTAGTTTTGCTACTCAAAAGTGAATTACCAAATTTATAAAAATGTATTAATTCTTAGAGCAACCACTGGCCAGGAGGTCCAGAAACTCAAAACAATTAAGTCCTGTAATGTTGTCTTTTATTCAAATCTGAAGATGTATCTCTGTCTATACTTATAGCCTCAATTAGAGAGAAAGTCAACCGGGAGCCCCTTTCTTTTGAAAGTGAAGCCCAAAACTCTCACATCCACTTCCCCATTTAAGCCACAGTGACCACCCTCCAACATAATCCCTCAATTATAGCTGGATGGAGTTCTTGTTTACACTCCCTGGCATCTCCATACTTTAATTTTTACAATTTTCCCACAAATGGATAGCACACCATGTTTCAAAGGCTGATTCAAACTCCACGTCTTCCAGGAAGTTTTTTTCTAACTCTGTCTCTTGATTTCCAACAGCATTTTAGTTCGTAATGGGAATTTTTGCTCATTACATTCTACCATGCAAGTTCATCTTTCTGCTTATCCTAATATGAAGACTGGGTCCAGGGCAAGGCGTTCAGCACAAACAGTAGTCACTGAATTAATAATATGCCGACCCGTATTTGATGTAACTTAAACACTCCTCTCGAGTGATTTTCTCAATCATACTCATTCCTAAACTGGATAACGAACGGGTCAGCAAGGCCCCGGGACTACAAGTCCCAGCGACCCGCATGGCCGCGGCTCTGGTTATCCCAACCCCGCTGGTTCTCCCCACAGAGCACAGCTCCACAAAAATGCAGGAATGTCTGACAGGGAAGAATCAAAGGAACCTTCACCAGCAGCCCAATATTCACCTGGACGGGCAGTGCACTTTTCTTACGTCTGGGCAGCGCAAGCAGAGCGCACCGTCTACAACCGCAGGCTAGGACCATCACCAACCGTCCCACCGCATCCGGCGCCCGCCACGCGGCGTCCGCGGGCTGCACGGCGTAGCCGCCCAGGAGCGTGCGCGCTGCGGCCCCTGACCTGCCGGAGCCCAGCCGGGCGCAGCGCGCGCATCCGGGAATACTCGATGCGCGGAGTCTCTTCGCCGCCGGGGTCTATCACCCTCGCCTTCGCTCAGCCCGCGCGCGTGTGCGTCCTGGCGTTCCCTGTAGGCCTGAGAGCTGGGTTGCCTAAGGTGTGGGGCCCGCACCCCTCTCGTCGTGGTGAAGGAAAACAGTATCCCCAGCGGGTGAGTACCGGCCGCGAGCTCCCGGCTGAGCGGGCGTCCCCTGGGAGGACGCCGGGGGGCGCCGCCATGGGAAGAGCGGCCGCCCGCGTTGGGCGTGGAGGCGCAAGGCTGGGGGACGCCGGCGGGCACGTTGCACGGGTTACAGCGTCCCGGGACCGGCTTTCTCTTTCCCGTAGCCCCTGCCTTGCCAGGGAAAGAGGGGGTGCTTTGACTTCAAGTGATTCCACTGTGGCTTCCAAAAGAGCCCCCTAAGCGGTTCCTTTTATTTCCACAACTTGCTGTTACCGTACTAAGGTACTGTGTTTAAAGGCTTAAAATAGGGCGTGCTAGACAGCGCTCACCCACGTGCCGTTATTCATTGCTTCATAAACAGAGAACATGCCTCATTGTTTTTTTCCCATTGCCTCGCTCCGAGTTAAAATAACGAGTTAAACTAAACAGAATGCGACTGGGAACTTGTTCAGGGAAACCGGGTGGGACGAACCTCGGAAACTTGCTGGTGTGGACAGCCACACGGTGGCGTCTTGTAGCTTTCACTCGTTCAAGCTTTCCGCACTGCTTAACTGCGTTCTGTGTCAGTCGTTGTGCTTGGCATTTAATCCTGGAAAAACAGGTGTTTCAACTTTGGACAGTCTTGTACATTGGGAAAGGAGAGATGTGGAGATAAACTGCTGCAAAAATAATGTTCCGGGTTATATGGATACATTATGGCATTAGTAGAAGCGGAACTCCGTTCCACTCACCTTGTAATTGAAGTAACTACATGCCATTGAATGTGCCCAAACTTCAAAATCATTTTAAAATCATTTGCCCAAATCGTCGTTCTGAATGAAATCTTTGATGGCTCTCCAACTATTTTCTAGGGCCCATCTGGTATAGCAGTTTAGAAACAACGATAGTGGAGAGAGAAGAAAACATAAGAAATGCTTTCCTTAATTAGCAGTGTAGCAGACTAAACAATATGTGTGCATGTTGCAAATATATTAATTTGTGATACTTCTTAAGAACACCTAACTTCTGGAGTTATTATAAAGTAGTATTTTAAAAAATACATATAGCATATATATATTTAAATATAGCGATGTATTATATCTACACCTAAGTGTTGTGAAGCATAGAAGCCCAAGTAATGAACAGACTAAATTGAGTTACTGTAGGATTTGAAGTACAATACTAGATAGTTTGTATGTAGTTCAGAGGGATAGAAAAATACAAATCAACCCTAAATATTTTCAAGTTTAAAGAGTATTTTGTGCTTTTGGCAAATAGAGGGAAGTAGTATCAGTTCAGTAGATAACCTCAGGCTCGTGGGCCAAATCTCACTTCTCAAAGTTTTGTGGGGTTTTTTTGTTTTTTTTTTGTTTTTTGTTTTAGAAAAAAATATGGCCACAGACAAGACACACTTTGATTGGGATAGATTTAGAAAAGAATTCAAAATGTACATGTTGCCTTTTAAAATTATAGAATATTTTTACATGAATTTTTTGAGGAGAAGGGGAAATGATAGTTGTGAAAGGAAAAAAGAGAGGGAGGGTGAGAAAGACCTTTGCTAAACCCTTTGCCTAACAAACTCAGATTGAGCACATCACATCGGAGTTACAGTCATCTGCTCTTGGAGTCATGGCCTGCTTTGTTTTGTGAAATAAACATTTTTCACAAATTTCTGAAGTTCTTAGAAATGTACTTTAGAGTCATTTTTAATTTTTGTGATTCAATTGGAAGACTCTTTCTTATTAAGCTTACTAAGCCTTATTTTTTTTTCCCCCTGAGAAACTTCTCCATGTCATAGAATAATTCCTGATGATCCAAGTAAAATTCTATTTCTCGCTATATATGTGTCCTTGTGGTCATTATATATGTTATGACAGAGTAACCACATTGAGGATTTTTACTTGTCAGTCTTTACATCATATTTATATCCAAAACAGTTAGGATCCTCAATCCCATAATGCTATGTCCCTCTGCCACTCCACTCATTTGCCTGTTTTTCAGACCTTTTCTCTTATAAAACCAGTGTTTGGCATGTGTATGGGGTTGGGGGACAAAGTTCCTGCACCCCGGAATTGGGAACAGAGTAACATCATTTATGATCCTTATTAGACATGAGGTGAGTTTAAGCTGGGGTCTCACTTTCTAATGTAAATATTCAGAACCCATCTTTCAGTCATCTTGTGTAAGCCTTTCATGCATTTTAAAGCTTTGCTTTTATTTTCTAAATGTACATGTTAAGAACAAGAGAATAAACATTATTAACCTCTTTATTCTGATATTCATTAATTGCCTAAGTTTCTTAGAATTGTCTTTATTTTTTAATAGTATAGTGACCAAAAGTAATACTAGTGTTTAACCTTAGTAATCAAAATAAAGTGTCTCTGACAGCCTGGCACTGAAACAATATTAGGAGAGTTTCATTGAGACTGTAAATCCCACCCTCCCTGCCTATAGTCTCTGTCATAACTACCTAGATAATTTATCACTTCTTGCAGCCTCATTTCCACGCCTTCTCCATCTGCTAATCATCTCACTATCTGCCGCCTTCTGGAGACTGTAAACTCTTTCTGTAGACTCCCCATATGTAAATTCTGTATCTTCACAAAACATTCCTCCTTGTGATAGTCAGAACCTGGCTGTCTCCCAAAGACACTGCTTTCCCAGCAGTTCACCACAGCTAAAGCTGTGCCCGCTGTACCCCAGGTCCTGGAGGTGGTGTCTGTATTTGCCATTTCTTCATGGCCATTGCTAGGCCATTCCATTCCACCCTTGTAAAACTTACCAGAAACACTTCTGTAATGAGACCTTTTCCCTCTCCTCTTCACTGTTATTTACCAGCTGCCTGGTCACTCACGTATGTTCATTAAGAAACTAGTACCCAACTCAGTTTTGTTTCTTTTTTTTGAGACAGAGTCTCTCACTGCACACCCAGTTTGGAGTGCAGTGGTGCAGTTTCAGCTTACTGCAACCTCTGCCTCCCAGGTTCAAGCTGTTCTCACGCCTCAGCCTCCCAAGTAGCTGGGGCTATAGGTGTGTACCACCACACCCAGCTAACTTTTGCATTTTTAGGAGAGACAGTTTCACCATGTTGATCCACCCGCCTGGGCCTCCCAAAGTGCTTGGATTACAAGCGTGAACCACAGCACCTGGCCATTCTTTCTTTCTTACTCAATTGCTACAAGATCCTGGGGACACTAAAGCAGTCATGTGCATCATCACAGGTTCAGCACCCCATATTCCTTTAACTTATTACCACAACTGACTGTCTGCAGGACCATAATATCTAAGACTGTTCCATATTAACAATCATAAACTCTAGTATTCTCTTCCCATCCTCCTGTTTCTGCCATCTCTCCCTCTCCCTTACGCTTCTGTACTTAATAACCCTGACCTCATGAAGACCTGTCCCTCGATGACTGTTCTGTTATCATCAGCCTCAGCCTACACTGACTTTCTTCCTTGTCTAGTCCACACTCCATTATTTACCCGCATCAGTATCCACAATTTCTTTGCCTTTTGTGTTTCTCCCGCTTTTGTCCAGCATACCTACTATTCTAGTTCAGTCTAGCCATTTGCTTTCTCACCTCATATATAAAGGTAATTAAATTGTATTAGTGAAAATATTGTAACCAGATTATTACCATGATGATATGGTATGGTCCGTAAGGTAGCTCAGCCATTCTTTTCCTTTCTCACAGCTATGATACTTTTATCATTCCTTAAACCTTCTACTCCACTTTTGACCTTGTACTTTCAGCATCTGGCTTTGCTTTTTCAGAGGAAACAGGGACTCCCAGACAGGAATACTGTGACAGATCACCAGGCCGACTTGACATCAGCAGATATACTTCTCTCCTGCCTCACAGGAAGAGGTATGTTTGGTTTCTTTCTTTTTGGCACTGGCACTGCAAATTTAAAATGACCTAAGAGGTGGGAGAAGAACAGCACAAACTGATGTTCACGAAAACGATGAAACAAGGAAAGTTCAAGACTAAGAAGTAGTCTACGGAGCCAAGTGCAGAAAAGATGCCTGAGAAGATATACTGGGTTTGGCAATTACAGAGTCCTCGGTGGCATGATTAGGTGGTGGAAGCCAGAACTCTGAGGGTAGAAGAGTTAACAAGTAAGGGAACAGAAAAAAAGATTACCTTTTTCTCTAAATTTGGCTGTAAAAAAGGAGGAGAGAAAAGAAATCTGATAATCCCAGTGGATGGTTTTTCTTTTTGTTTTTGTTTTGTCAGACAGGGCAGATAAAGCCAGAGGAGAGAGGTGGGGAAAGGGTATATTGAAGATAAAAAGGAGGGTTAAATAAGGAAACAAGGCACCAGAGGAGATGGAATGAATGGGATCTAGGACGTATATTGGATCATCTGTAGAAAGAAAAAAGAAAGAAAGAAACCAAACACCGGCTGCAGGTTGGACAAGCTTGCTCTGATACCTCTTCTGTGATTTTGTAGTCAGTTTCTTCTCCTTGGCATCTAAACGTGTTTGAGTTTGTCATAATAAAAACAGACCTCTCCTCTGTCCCGGTCCCTGCAGTTGTTGCTCTTTAGGGTTTTGTCCTTGCTCCTTTTCTCTTTCCAGTTTGTATTGTTCCCTGTGAGTAGTCTAATAGCTTCAACCACTAGCTTAGGGAAATGACTCCTAAATCTCCCTTTAGCCTAGACTTCTTACCTGAGCTCCTGATGCTGACACCCTTACCCCAGT